TTTATTAACACAAATTCATGGTTATAAATTGATTATATTATATTCTGCCTTAGAAACAAAGAATTTATATCCATATAATGATAATCCAATGTTATGTAATACATCTAGAATAGATTTAGATCATTTGAATATTGATTTGATGAATCAATTTCCTAAATTTCAAAATGCTCATGGTTATTATAGTATACTTAAACCTGGTGAAATGTTATATATACCACCACGTTGTTGGCATTATGTTCGTTCATTAACAGCGAGTTATTCAGTGAATTTTTGGTGGAATATTTCATCATCATTAATACCATCATGGGAATAATAAGTATTATTATTACTATTGTATATAGATCTTTTTTGAAATTCTTTTTTGTTTTGTCGTTTGCAATGGCTGGTTGGGATCCTAGAGACGACACTGGCCGATGGTTAAAGATCTTGAATGAAATGGTTCAAAATCGTTTACAATGGCGCAGGTGTATCCACTGTTTATGTTCTCCCAAATTGTCATCTTCTGAATTGTTCATGTCCCTTATTTTCTCTTTCCAAATTTATTTCACTGTATTATACTCCTTGAATAACATCTTCAAACCCTAATGTTTCTGATTACTGTTTATACTTTTACTACCTCCTATCACTATGGGATTTGAATCGACCATTGCATCTCTGTGCTAATGTGGTATGGCAACTCGAACTGATGTACGTACGTACGAAGTTCTATGTTTGTTACTGACTGACTGACTTGCTGTTGTTGTTGTTGCTGAGTAAGATTGTGGATTGTAAAATAAACTTTATTTTTTGAAAAAATAAAAAAATGTGAATTTTGTCGTTTTTGTCTTTTGTTTGTAGAATAATATTTGATTTGGTCTATTCTTACGATTTATTGTAATGAAGTATTACCTTGAATTTGTTTATTTATTTACAACTGGTTACTAATTATAACTCCGCCTGGAGCTCCTGCGGGGGCATCCTGTCGATTTTAAGCCCGGATAAAGGAGGTGGGTTGGTCATGAAGTTAGCGACGTCATCCCGTAGAAAACTAACTTGCTAAAAAAAACGCTAATCATAAAAAAATAATTCTAACTACTTAAACTCTACTCCGGGTGTTAGAACGTTTTCATTTAGAAGAGTTATGACATCTCATGGTGAAAGTCGAGTTCGTTCAGAAGTCAAAAGGCTGATTCTCTTTCTAACAAACGGAGAAACTATTTATTTAGGTACATGGAATGCTCATAAAATGTGGGAGACCGGAAGAGTCTTCCAAATTGCTGCAGAAATGAAGAGATACAACTTGGAGGTTACTAATTATAATTATCAATCAGTTATATCTGTAAATCAGTTCAAGTTTTCATACGATATTAGCATACTAAGATAAAATTATCAAGATAATTACTAGAATAGTAGTAGTAAACAAGACTGGTCATAAACAATATGATTTGAGAAGCAGTAATGTATTCATTTTAGGAAAAGTATATGATAGTCTTGAAACTCAAGATCTAAGGAAAGAAAAAGAAGCAGAGTGAATACATCTACACTATTGTGACCGATTCTGAGACATATCGTCTAAACTGTCTAATTAATAGTTATAATAATCACGCGGACACCAAACAGGTTAGTTAGTCAACAACAACTTAGGACGTCGTACGTACATACATCCGTTCAAGTTGCTATATCACATTAGCACAGAGATATAATTGTCGATTCAAATCCTTTAGTGGTAGAGGTAGTAAAAATATAAGCAGTAATCAGAAAGATTAGGGTTCAAAGATGTTATTCAATGATTATAATCCAGTGAAAGGAATTTAGGAAGGGGAAAAAAGGGACACGAAGAATTCAGAAGATTATAATTTGGGAGAACACAAATAGTGAATACACCTGCGCCATTGTAAACGACTTTGAACCATTTCATTCAAGATCTTTAACCATCGGTTGGTGTCGTCTCTAGGATCCCAACCAGGTAGTCTACACCTACCTACGTGGTTCAGTCTAATATTCACAGGATTCATGGACCGATGCCATATTTTATTTCGTTTTCCCTTTTCTCTCTTCTGCCCTAATCCTGTACCAAACAACAACGCCGTTCGATTTTAGTGGTGGTTAGGCATGTGCAGATATTCATCTCTAACTAAATACTAATAACCGACGAATGTCATCTTTTAAATGTTTAACTATAAATCTCTATATGATTCATGAATTGGAAACAAAAAATTCTTGTTTAGAAGATTGTCTGCGCAAATTGTGACTCTTATTTCGCAACATATTTTGAGATTCCACTGGAATAATTAAGATACTAGGATTAGAAATGAAAAGACTGTCCCAAGAGACATGTATTAGAACTGTACCACGATATATATCTTATAGTGATAAAGTCGATAGATAACTTGAAATAGTTCACATCAAATGACTACATTATTATGACAAAAAATAAGAATGAAAAGGCTATAATTTCTTACTTAAATTGAAGGGAGTTCGTCTTAACAATAGTACACAGTTAATATGGTCTTGCAGTTCATCCTATTCTCAGACAATAGCAAAAATGTAAATAGTTAAGAATTCATTGTTTGTTTTTCTGCACTTGACTAATTGAACATTTTCTATTACGTAATTATGATAGTTTTTACATTGATCTCCACTTTCTTCTGATGTTTTGAGATTAGAGTAAAGCCTAGTTACAAACAAATAGAAAACGGTGTCCGTTTTTATATGCTTCTCTAATTTTCACAGTGGCTCTTTACTACTTACTATCAAAAAAAGTAGTTTCAACAATACTTAGTAATTTTGTAGTTTGGATTTGAAAGTCAGTCAGTTACAACGTAGAACTAGGAATCGGTTCTGGTTGTCACGCCTTATTAGCACAAGATGAGCACCAAATTCGTAGTAGTAGTAGTAGTTACTTTAAAGATAGTAATATATGAAAAGGAAAATTGTGTATCAGGGTGTAGTACAGGAAGAAAGAATTAGTTCGTAGAAAGATATAAATCAATTTTTAATTTCACGGTTTAAAGGAAGATAGAGTGTATACACCTACGCCATTGTGATCGATTCTGAGCCATGTCACCAAGAGTCTCCAACCATTGGTTACGATAGTCACGCGGACTCCAACCAAGTTGTCTGCATCTACCAACATGGCTCGGACTAAAAGTTAGTGACTTTGTGAACTGATGCCACGTTTTGGTTTGACCACTCCCAAATTTCTTCCAACTATCCCTAACACCGGTTAGCATTGCACGTCGTGCTAATCGGTGTTCAGGTATACGTAACACGTGGCCCAACCATCTTAGTCGATGAAGATATACAACCTCATTAGCTGACTTACTATCATTCCCTAATACCCTGCGTCTAACCTCATTATCACTTACCAGGTGATCCCAGCAGATGCGAGCAATATTTCCAAGACATTTGTGATCAAATGCTAGTAGCTTACGAGTATCTTCTACTCTTAATGGCCACGTCTCACAGCCGTAAAATAGAGCAGAACGAACTACCGCGCAGTATACTCACCCCTTCATTGATAGACGAATATTTCGCATTCGCCACAGGTGACGTAAATTGGCAAAAGCCAAGCGAGGTTTCTGAATCCGTGCTGATATTTCGTCAGACACCAACATATTAGGTCTTATCAGACTTCCAAGATAAGTGAGGTTGTCAACGCGTTCGACTACTTCACTCCCTATCCTTAGTTCAGGTGTTGACGCAGGCCAGTCCTGAAGCAATTGGATATTTATCAAAGGAATTTATATTCATTTGTAGCAGTTAATGTAAGTACAATTCAAACTGGACACCATTCAACTCCCTGGGGTTTTTTCTCTGGGTTAAAGGCCCATCTAAAAGAAACTAGTTTCGTGACCTTTCTCCTCCCTGATTATTCATTTGTTAGCTGATAAGTAACTCATAGGCATACTGTTTTAGTATCTAAGTGAACGTTTATAGCTCTAATATACATGGGTTTATGCAAGCAATGATGGATAGTGGCTAGCAGTGGAATGCAGGACGCGCTTTTCGTCCTATTCGGGAATCGTCAGCTGGATATGCCCGTATCTCAGAGGTGATGTTCACTCTGGGACTCGAACCTAGTACCATTCATTTCAAACGCCATCGGGTTTACTTTTAAGCATGTTTTCTTATCACATCGATTCAACCATCATAGCATTTACGTAGAACGAATAAGTGATTATCTTGAATTTCACTGTAAGACATCATAAATAAGAGATATAATTTGAATAATACAATACTAGCAAACAAATATTAGGTTTTGAATTCTATTTCTTATGAGATTTTACTGAATCTCTGTCGCTTCAAATAGTTCTTTGCCTTCAATGTTTCAGTATACTTTAAGTCTAGACCAAGTACTGTATAATTCGCTCTCAAATGCCTTGTACGGCGAGAGTAGGGAGTGTCAGCTCTCTCTCTCCAAATGCTCTCACATGGCCACGTGCATTCAGCCACTGCCAGGGAATTCCTCCTCACTGCCTTCTTACGGTATTACTGTTGTTTACAAAATTGAGAGGACGAAAAGCGAATGTGTGGCGCTTTAAGTGGGTTGGTGGATACTGAGAATCCACCTAGAAAGGAGAGTTGGAAAATGCTGATTGGAAAGGATTGGTGTAGATGGGCTTCAGGATGCTAAGGAAAGAAAATGTGTATGAACGAATTGTTGGTTACCAGGCTACCATATGCCTACATCTCCTTACGTGGATTAGACATTTAAGTAAAAAGTTCGGGTTATGGGCACACGGGCAATATCAGAGCCCTCTCATGAATCGAATAATTTATGTGGCGCATATCTATTTGATGCCTTCCTGTATCAATGTTTATGTGTTTAGATAAATACTGTATGATTCAATAAAGTCATGTGAAGTCAAAGCAAATTTTATTGCAGAAGAACTTAAAATGAATTTTTCAAGTACCAAAAACATAAAAGTCACTTTTCAGTGTCATAAATGAATATGCATTTCAATAAGTATGCATTTAATGTTTATATATATTAATCCTACCCAGTAACCACAATACCATCATTCATGGGATTTTTCACAATAGAAACATGATGGAATCATCGAACTAGTCAATTTCGATTGAATACAACATTGACATGAACAATGTTCACATCTATAATTATTCATTTGTTCATGATGATGATGATAATTACACAAAGGATAATATGGTTGACAACAGTTTGTTGAATCGTTGGTATATTGCGCTTTGTAACAAGATTGATTCGGTTTCATTGTATTTAACTTGATCATATTGCAAGGACATGCAGTATTATCATTACAGTAACCTTTATATTGTTGTTCTTTTAATATACTACTCATTAAATTGTTAGTAGTATAATTTGTTTCAACCAAATGATTTCCATCACATCTTGTACATTGAATATAATGATGAAAAGGTATATGAAAATCATTATAATATAATATAGACTTTATATTATCCGAATTTAAATGACGATTAAGATTGAATTGTTTTTTAGTTAGACCAAGTGATTCGTAAGTATTTCGGTTGGTGTTGGATGACATTTTTTGTTTTGTTTTGTGAATAGAATTTAGTTCCTCTTTAATGAATATTTCAATGAAAAACAATGAGATTAGTTGATTGAAACACTTTTGTCAAATTGTCAAATTATAATGCCATGAACATTTCAACGGATAGAATCGATATAGATCTGGATTCAAATATGATCCGTTTCGATCGATGAACAATTGATTTATGATGTAAGTTATAAACTACTTATTATTAATCGGTTAAATTTCTCATTATAGACAAATAGTTGTATCAGTAAAATAAAGAGGTCATGGTTTTGATGAAAATCATTTATGAAATGAAGTATTCCGTTGATCTCAGGAGGAGGCGTGATGGATTTAAGAAGAAACATACTTTATTTAATAGTTGTGTGTGTATGAGTCCTACCTACGGAAGATACTCAATCTTTGTTGGTTGGATACCATCAGCAACAGTGTATTGTGGGAGTGAACAAATTGGTTTTCATTTGAAGAGGAGAGTAGGAAAAAATGTTGGAGTTGGGTAGGACACATATTACGGAAGTCAACAAACTGTATCACGAAGCAAGCATTAAGTTGGAATGTTGAAGAGAATCGAAAGAGAGGAAGGTGAAAGAACACACCATGTCGGGAATTGGAAGTAGACATGGAAAGGATGAATAACAACTGGAGGGGATTGTCCAGGACAGAGTTGGGTAGAGATTGCTGGTGGTTGACTTGTGCTCCTAGAAGAGGGGTAACAGGTGTAAGTGAATGGCTGTATTGAGTAGTTGAGCATAGAAAGTAGAATTAAAGATAAGACTAATATGATCAAAGAATAAGAAGACTTTCATCTTGGTACATTACACTATTTCAAAAGAATATTACTATGTAGCGTTTATTTCTTAGTATCAACCGATTCCTATGTATATTGTTTACGTTCACTAAATTAAGTGATCCACTATCTCACAGGAATCCTTAGAATTCAATCTACTGCTCAGAGATAATTACTATGTCCCACCAGAAAGTTGAGATCATATACAACAAGAAGTCCTACTTTACTAACAAGTATGAAACAAACAAAAGACTTCCTTCTACTTAGTTTAAACCATGAAGTTAATATCAAAGTGGATCTGGTTAGTGTCATCATCAGTCTTTAAGATAGAAGGCTTTAATTTTAATAATATCGTATGGAGTATTATATGAAATGAATAGACAGAAAGGGAAGAAAGACAGGAAACATGCATTGATCAGTTAAGTATGTTGGTATTTAACTACTTACTTTAATGAAAGCGTTTCAATGTAGAAATTCGTTCTTATTCTTTAGGCTGGTTATCAGAAATCTCTAGGTTTTATCTTTAATATTAGGTGATAAATATCTGTTGTTCGGTAGTTTTTAGTCCTATTTATTTGTGTGACATAGAGATAACGTATTCATTTGTATTGTATTGAAAGTATAATTGACCAATTTTTATCTGTAGTTCCCTTAATATTAATGAATGAAGGAAGGGATTCATCACCCATAATTGATTGATCACTGGGTGGTGACCAATGTCATGTGTGTCAAGTCCTTATTATTAGTGCAGATCGAATGCTATCGAACATGATGCAATTTGGCCACCAGTCTGGGTGACTTGAATCGAGTGCCAAGTAGCACGAAACCCGGGTCCAGGGTTTCCTGTCGACTACCTCCAACCACTATCTAATATTCATCACCCATCTATATATCAGCCATTTTCAAAATAACTCGAATATAAATAGAATAATCAGAGGATCCATAATCTTTTATAGATTGCAGATACATTATCTAGGATATAACTTGGACTCATGTTTTCGTGCTAATTGGTCATTTAGAACTGTACTAAAGAATTGCGTAAATTTGCTTATGAAAATCTGACTACTAATAAGTAGTATGTTTTATAAAAGGAAGTTTTACTGTTTTTTATCGTATATTAATTATGTTATCAAGTATACTATGCACTGAAATATTCATCTCCATTATTACGAAGCGGTTATATTTCAACACAGATTACTACCTTCAGAGATGGAATTGTCTTTCTGTAGTGAAATATATGTTTCTTATTTATGATAAACACTCTTCTGACTTATCAGTGTACAATTGTATTCAGTAAATAATTTTGAGTAGTTATACAGTGAATGTTTATGGAAGTACTGTTCTTACATTTTGTGTTTATTTATTTATTTTATTTCAACACATAGATAATGGTACAAAGAGACACCAAATACATATGCGCCACACAAATCTCATTCGATATGTGTGAGGGCTGTGATACTGCCCGGGTGCCCAAACCGAAGCAAGTGGTTTTCTTAGGGGGCCACACCCCGAGCCTTCGACCCAAAGGTCTGATCCACAAGGCAGTGGAGTATCGTAAGGAGATGCAGTCCCATGGAAGCCGGTGACCAACAATTGGTTCATTCGCCATTTGTTCCCGCAGGATACTGGAGCCCATGTGCACCATTGGTTTGGAATCCGGTTAAAGCGCCGGACATTCGCTTTTCGTCGTCTCATTTTCGTAAACAACACCCCCGCCACGAGAAGGCAGTGAGTAGGACTTCCCTGGCAGAGGCTGTATACGCGCGGCCGTGTGAGAGTATTTCGAGAGGGAGAGCGGACTCTCCCCACTCTCGGCCGTACCAGGGCATTTGGGGGCACATTTTGTGTGCATGAGATCTGGTTAATTTAATTGGAACATTATGTTTTATGATGGACTAGATATGATTTTATATGAAGTGTTAGAGGTAACGCACTCATCATGAAAATTCAAGGAATTATAGGTGTTACATTCTTTGAGTTAGCTAGTTAAATCGTTAAAAATTCATTGTCTTTGTACACAATGTCATCAGAATAAACTTTAAACAGAACTGAAATACAAAATGACTAACTGGTTTTTCTATTAACTTAGTTCATAACTAGTTATCGCTGATCATTATCTTGCTATTTTCTGCATGTTTTTTTAATGATTGTCTCGCCTTTTGATCTGATTCCTGATCCTATATTATATTGTGCATGATTTTTCTAATCGATTGATAAGTTGTACTAATTCTAGTATCTCTATTGATCTCTGATGGATCTAAGTTATTTAAAAAGACGATCGAAGTGTAATCATCGAATCAATCCGCTCAGAGAAACCAACTCTAGAGGTACAAGAATTTATAGTCTTACGTTTAATCCTTCGAGGGATTGTAGACATTTTTGAACTCAAAGAATGTAGTACTTTGGAAATTCTCTTACTATTAAGCTAATTATTACAATCTTTCTGAACTAGAGTTTTTTCCATACTACAATTTCACAAATTAACAGTTACACAGTGGAAAAATAATATAAAGCGAATACGATAAAAGACCCACGATCCCGCACTACTGAGGAGTCCCACAATAGGACGGAACGGCTGTTCAGGGCTTCCAGGTTTTCTGTGGTGGTCTAGCCTCAATTGGCTTGAAAATATGTGAATTCAGTTGTATGTGAAGTGAAACAGATTTCGATGATAGACTGAAGTTGGAAATATAAACCAACGTCATTCGACTCAAAAAGTTTAAAGGTATGTATAGTTCAGCTATATGTGCGGTTAAGAGATGTAAAAAAAAGATTTATAGCTCAAATGGATGATGATTTAGACTGATTCATCGAGCTTAGAGAACAAGACTCCACTGGAAAATCTTCGGTGCACTTTCGATTTTTAATGGTTTATTAAATAATATTCTTGTTGGGAACTTAAATTTCACAAATAAATGAACAATTTATTAGTTTAGATGGATCTTGAATATTGTTAAGTTATGCAATCAACTGTGGGAAAGAACAAACCAGATCTCAGCGGAGGAAGAAATTAGGAGGAAGCGCTGGAAGTGGATAGGACACACACTGAGGAAAGTACCCAACTGTGTCACAAGACAAGTCCTCACATGGAATTCTCAAGGTCAAAGAAAAAGGAAGACCAAAGAACACATTACACGGAGAAACGGAGACAGGCATGATTAGAATGAACATCAGTTGGATGGAACTAGAAAGGAAGGTCGAGGACAGAGTGGTTTGGAGAATGCTGGTCGGCGGCCTATGCTCCATTAGAAGTAACAGGCGTAAGTAAGTAAGTTATACGGTTTGCATCACAAGACATTTACTCACCAACGTCATTAAAAGATCAGT